TAAAACTTCATAATCCAGTCATGATCCATCCAAATTATGTCAGAATATCAACATGTGCTCTGTTTTACCTGCTGAATAATGTGCAGTTCAATAAAAGCCTTAAAAATCAAAGAAAAATACTTTGATTTTTGAAAAGTTTTTTTTGAAATCTTCCGAAGTACAAGAATATTTTTAATATTCTCAAGTAAAATATCCTATTGCTCAGGAAAAACAGAGTACACGTTCATATTCTCACATAATTTGGGTGGATCATGACTGGATTATGAAGTTTTAATCTTAATCAAAAATCGGTTATTTGACATCATCTAGGTTTCTGGAACTTTTTTGGAAAACAAATGTTGCCACGAGGTTCAGCGTGATCGATTACCTATGTTTCCATCCGTTTACGCAATTATCACACCTAAAGAAATATTGATTCTGGGACTCTCACAAAATCCGATACCACGCCGGAACCAGGAAAAATTAAGAGTTCGCTTGGCTTCCATTTTGGAGAGGACACTTTGACTACAAAATACTTGACTGTCTGTGTGTGTGCGCAAAATACGGAAAAATCGCTGTCAGATAATTTATGGATAAGCCAATTGGAACAGAGAAAATATTCGAAGAGATGGCTGAAATGTATACTGGTGCAGAGAGAAAGAGAGCTAAGGAAACCTTGTCTGTACTACGATAGCTGTCGCCAGAATCAGTCAATTTTGATAACACCAAAAAGTTATGTACGTAATAAAACTTGCAGAATATAGATAGTCTACCATAGCAAATCGTAGGAATACATCCAGCCCCTTAAGATCTCCAGACGATGGAGAGAAAACATTTTAGCTTTATATTATATTGTACGCTTTTTTCTGGGAATCAGAAAAGGTCGTTCTGAGCTATCCTAGCTGCGAACACCGACTGCAGGTAGGCGTGAGTATTGTCTTGACTTTAGCAATATTTTAGACCTTTCCGGATCTTTGGAGGGTTTTGAGAAAACCTTTTTGATTTACATTAGATTAAAAACCTTATACATCAAATCAGAGACAAATTCACAACGTATTTTAGATAATCCTTCAGCGAACGGAGGCGTGAGCGCTGTTTTGGATTCAAACGTTATGAAAGACCGTTTGCAGATTTGAGTTCCTGAAGTGAAGGGACAGAGTGGGTGAGCACAGTGCAGGCTAGCATTACCTTATCATTTTGCGATCAATTTTTATAGATCTCACTTTGACCGATATATATTCGTTTGTCATACTATGTGCAGATGTGAATTCATATATGGTTAACATACACGCCAATCGGTAGATCGCCGGTAGCGGTCGGTAGCGAACGTATATTGTAATATGTGACACATGCACGACAAATTTCTGATATTATTTATTTGATAATATTCTGTTGCACTAAACGGATACGACCATACGACTAGCTTCTTTAATGATACCCACACGAACTGTTTTTCCCTATTCAGGGTGTTATGACGCTATAAAACACGTTTTTTTAAATTATGGTATTACAATGCTGTAGATTTATCTCATTACAATGCGACAGGCGTAACCTGTCGTATTATAACGCGTTGCAAAGTTGTTTTTCAGGAATTTATGGCGTTGTCACTGGATAAAAGTTTTCATTGCATTACAACTCTTGAAAGTTATAGCATTGTAATGCGTTTCAACTTTTTATCTCGTTACAACGCCATTAGATTTGTCTACCGCCTTATAATACGTTAAATTCTAATGTATTATAACGCCTTCGAGTTGTCTACTTCATAATGCGTTATAATACCTGAGATGTGTTATCTAATTATAACGGAACACTCTTTTATAGCCTTATAACTCATTAGATAATGCATATCGTATTGTAACGAGTTAATATCTAATAGATTATGAAGCATTATTATTTTGTATCCACGATGTCCGTTTGGAAGTCGTTTATCATGTTCTTTTCCTATGGGATAATACTTAGCTGTCACTAACTCCTTTTTTTATCATACCAAAAGAAATATTGATCCTGGGATTCTCACAAAATCCGATGCCACGCCGGAACCAGGAAAAATTAAGAGTTCGCTTGGCTTCCATTTTGGAGAGGACACTTTGACTACAAAATACTTGACTGTCTGTGTGTGTGCGCAAAATACAAAAAAATCGCTGTCGGATAATTCATGTATACCCAATTGGAACAGAGAAAATATGAAGAACACTACTGCAAGCATGGCAACAGCACGTGAACAGCATACTGCAATGCTGCCCAATTCGAGCAAAGTTCTTGTCACTGGTGGTTACAGACCGTCCGCTTATCTTACTAGTTGTGAGATATATGATCCATCATCGGGACAATGGAACACTACTGCAAGCATGGCAACAGCACGTCAAGAGCATACTGCAACCCTTCTCAATTCGAGCAAAATTCTTGTCACTGGTGGTGAAGAATCGTCCGGCCAGCTTGCCAGTTTTGAAATATACTATCCTTGAATCTTCTATTGTCAGCGGAAAAGGAAGTGCCGCGCCTTCTTACTCTTCTCTTTGGGGTTAATAGCCAGTATTGACAAAGTTCTTTTCGTCGTGACTTTTCGCTGTTTTCGCTTACATTTGTTAAAAGTATACTTCTTACACAGCGAAAAGAGGGGCTCTAGACAACAAAAATACGGAAGAAGTTGGATAAAAGATATATTTTAACTAGACAAAGCTACTCAATAATCCATTCATAAAAGTCATCTTAAACATGAAGACTGTGGATGGAAATCTAGGAAATCCAAATACATTTTGGCAGTCAAACGTGAAAACAAATGACGGATTTTGTGCAAAAAATTGATTTTTTTGATTAGGTGATTTTTTTTCAGAACTATTTAGGTCAAGAAATTGAATTTAAAATTTTAAAATTTTTAAACTTAAATTTTCTTTAAGTTCAGATTCGTAATCAACACAAGGAAAAACGCGTCTAATATATATATATATATTTCTTTTGTTCGAGTGAAAACAAAAATTTGAACCATCAGATTCGACAGATGATGTTAGGTGGCCACGCAGTTTGTTGTACAAGAATTTGTGGTTGACTAAAGACCCTAAATTTGAACAGGGACTCTGAAAGACCGTGAAGGCACAAATGAATATCAGGTTCGTGATCAGTATGAAAGACTATCCTTTCTTTTCGCACTTTCCGTATGACTATTTGTTCGGAACATTACAGAGGACTACGTGTTTTACTATCGCATTTTGACTGTTCAAGGCCGTTTTTTGATCTTATTTCTGATGGGCCCATCACCATTTTTGATATGGTGTATAGCGTGAAAAGGCGCATCTTTTGATGTAAAATTATGCAGGATAAATTACCAGGAATACCTGGAAAAATCCAGTTATTTCCACAAGATGGAACCAACAAATGGATACATCATCTCGGTTAACAGGTACTCACAACATCAAAATTCAGTAACAATGTATTTCATATTGCGTATCAGAACGACTCATGTCGGTCTTTACAAATGCACTTGCCCTATTCTTTGAGTCTTGGTTCTATTAGTTTGTGCAGTCGCTTTACGTACCCATATGGTGAAAAACTGCTTGAACCCTTTACGAAAGACTGTTGACGCACCAAAGTACGTATAGAAAGGAACAGCACTGTTGAAGTAAATAAGTATAAGTAGTCACTGCAACTTCCATAATGATGAATGGATAGACAAATGTTGTCACAATATAAACAGAAGGGCAGGTAAGAACAAAATTGTCGAATTCCATTGTATTTAAAACTTACTTTTGTTCTCCGTTCAAACGACGGCTCTTGTAAACGTTCTCGCATATTCTTCTAGCGGATTCTTTGTATATCATATTAAAAACAATAAAATGAAAGCATATCGAGAACGAAGTATCGAGATACATAAGTTAGAGTGGAAGATCTTCTATAAACGTATTAATATTCTTAATTCATAGTACTTCGTTCATATTTAATAGAGAAGAAGATTTTATCACTCATTAAACGCCAACAATGCAGGCGTCTCTTGTACTAACTCTTTTTCTAACAGTAAAACAATATGAAATATTCGTTTAGGAGAAGCGAAAAATTCGAATTCATTAGACAAAAACAGATTTACTGTCTCAATAATATTTTTCCAAACTTTACTTTTAACAAATGTAAGCGAAAACAGCGAAAAGCCATGACGAAAAGAACTTTGTCAATACTGGCTATTAACCCCAAAGAGAAGAGTAAGAAGGCGCCGCACTTCCTTTTCCGCTGACAATAAAAGATTTAAGGATAGTATATTTCACAACTCGCAAGCTGGCCGGACGATTCTTCACCACCAGTGACAAGAACTTTTCCCGAATTGAGAAGGGTTGCAGTATGCACTTGACGTGCTGTTGCCATACTTGCAGTAGTGTTCCATTGTCCCGATGATGGATCATATATCTCACAACCAGCAAGAATACCGGATGTTGTATAACCACCAGTGACAAGAACTTTGCCCGAATTGAGCAGAGTTGCAGTATGCTGTTCACGTGCTGTTGCCATGCTTGCAGTAGTGTTCCATTGTCCCGATGATGGATCATAAATCTCACAACCAGCAAGATAACCAGACGTTGTATAACCACCAGTGACAAGAACTTTGCCCGAATTGAGCAGAGTTGCAGTATGCTGTTCACGTGCTGTTGCCATGCTTGCAGTAGTGTTCCATTGGCCCGATGATGGATCATATATTTCACAACTAGGAAGAGCACTGCCCGATGTATTCATACCACCAGTGACAAGAAGTTTGCCCGAGTTTAGCAGGGTTGCAGTATGATCTTCACGTGCTATTGTCATGCTTGTAGTAAAGTTCCACTGATCTTAAGGGAAAGACATTACAACAGGAATTATAGTATTCTACCTGTGGTGGTGGTATAAACCGACTTCAATTCGAAGGTCATCCCATTGATCTTCACCCGCGCAGCTTCAAAGCTAAGACTTAACTGTTTAAAGATAATAAATAAAACTCAGTACTTGTTATTATTGTTGAAGTAGCCACCGTTGATGACGTCGGTATCCATTCTAAATGTCAAAATAAAGAGTGACCTGATTTTCACAACGATTAATTCACGCGCAATCTATTAGGTGATAGTAATAGAAAATAAATTAATGTATACACTCACCACATAAATGAGATGAAGAACATGTTATATTTTTATCATTTCTACACCATTCACCATTTTGACATGATGAACCATTGTATCCTTGATTTAAACACATCGATCCATTCCAATATGTATGTGGGGGACATTGACAAGTATTATTAATACATAATAAATATCGATTTATTTGACACTGATTACATGTTTGGTTATAGACTAAATAAAGTTGCTGTGTATATGCAATACTACCAACTCTTGATGTTGATGGGACAGCTGCTGATCTATTCACTTGACCAGTTGTTATTTCACCTTCAAATAGTCGACATCGTTTAGATAATGTATCATAATCGAGCGTCCGACACAAGGAATTCAGATTACATGTTTGTGCACAACCGATTCGTGATGACACCGAGATTGTATTTATTAACTCAATTGGATCAGCAGGTGCAAATAATGTACCGAAATCGTCAAGGTGAATATGCGACTGGAATTGTGAATAAATAAGATCGATGAACAGGAACCATCGAAGAAAATACTGTGGTATAATTGAGTATCTAACTGTTTTCATGTGAAAGTTTCTCTTTCTTCGAATGTTCCTTCGTTGTCAATACTAGATATTTTAATAAAATTTGTTATCTTTTTCTTCACAGTATTAAGGTGAAAAGTTCTTTTTCAGATCTATATAAAATTTTCCCGAACTATAGTGCTGATTGAGGTTGTGAAGTTCACAAGAGAAGAAAAAGAAAATGAATAATTGCAATGTCGAAAAGGTGTTTCATAAGAAAGCAGAAAGAAGAATTGTTTGCCACTAAAAGCAGGATGTTGTGTCCTCCTAATCTGGTTTTAACCCGATAACATATGTATAAAAGACAATGTTTCCTCGTCTGAAAAAGCAGTGAACTGATGGGCTAGAATGCTTGATGGTTAAGACATGCAAACATTAAGCTCGAAATGGCATTTATCGTGTTACGTAAACAATTTAAAAAATCGTTTAGAAGAATTCTGCGAAAGGTACGTTTTGCTTAACCTTATTAATAACGACGGCATTAATATGTGTTTGTTTGGGTTTCATGTTAATATTTATTCAGAAATTTTGACATGTAGAAGGAATACCGACGACGCTTGCTAGTTCTGAAATATATGATCCATCAACGGACCAATGGACACACTACTGCAACCATAGCAAGAATTTTGCCCGAATTGACCAGAGTTGCAGTATGAGCATCGCGTGCTGTTGCCATGCTTGCTGTGGTGTTCCATTGGCCCGTTGATGGATCATATAATTGAGAACTAGCAAGCGATATCGGTATTCCTTCTAAATGTCAAAATAAAGACCGACCTGATTTTGACAACGATTAGTTCACGTGGAATCTATTAGATGATCGTAATCACACCTTTCATGCCGTTTCTAACAATTTTTTGACCCTGAATAAATATTAACATGAAACCCAAACAAACACATATTAATGCCGTCGTTATTAATAAGGTTAAGCAAAACGTACCCTTCGCAGAATTCTTCTAAACGATTTTTTAAATTGTTTACGTAACATGACAAATGCCATTTCGAGCACTTCTCCCTCTAAGGAATTTTAAAGCATAAATAGGAAATATGAAAAATTCGTATATCAAAATATCTGTAAAGTAATTGTATCTTCAACGTCTGTCTATATTTCAGCATGTTTAAGAAAGATATTGTTACAATACACGTCATAACATACGTTCAAATGCTGACATACGTTCATGTGCAACTACTTAATGTTTGCATGTCTTAACCATCAAGCATTCTAGCCCATCAGTTCACTGCTTTTTCAGACGAGGAAACATTGTCTTTTATATATATGTTATCGGGTTAAAACCAGATTAGGAGGACACAACATCCTGCTTTTAGTGGCAAACAATTCTTCTTTCTGCTTTACGATGAATTTACGATGAACAGGCAGATAGAAAAATATGAAAGGTCTGAGCTGTATTATTGCCGCTGGAAATGAATTTAGGGATGAAGTATCGTCTGCAAAATTTGTTATCCTGCATTTTTATAGCGTTAGTTGTCAAATTGTTTTACAAGATTTAAAAAATTTTACTGGACTTTTCTGTTGAAAAATAAATCGGCTGTACTGTTAATGAAAACTAAACGCAAATTAACCTACCTATCAGATGAAAACCGTAACATAGCAACATTAGTTCGAAATATATGCAAAATAATTCAGTAGGATGGATAATCGATGTTTTCATTTACTTTAGGGGTTATCTGAGGTCATCTTATATCAGTCTTGGGGCTCCCTGCAAAACTGATACCACGCCTAAACTACAGAGGCTGAACCACCTGATCAAGATATCGTACATAGCATAATTTGTAGGAAATTCGACGAGCTTTAAAATGGTATATGACACAAAATGTACTTGCTTCTTTACCAGTGTGAAAGAAATAGTAAAAAGTGGAAGTATATCGCAATTTCCTCCAGTCGGTTTACTTCTGATCTCATCGATCTTGAACTTCCGAACCTACCAGTTTGTACCAATTTCATGCGCTCCAAGATAATATATAATAGGAAGATGTATGTTTTCTTATTTGCTAGAAAAAGAGGCTTTACAAGTGAAGACCATCTACTATATTGTATACGAAGGATTATTCTAAGTGCTATAAAAGCACTGCGATTAAGTGTTATGTTACCAAGGGGGAAATAGCAAAATTCCAAGCAGCTGTAAACTCCTAGACCTAAGAAGCTTGGAGAATCCTGTAGAAACTTCCCAAAGTTCGAGAAACTAGAGAAATCCATGAGAGTACAAGAAAAAATCGGAGAAACAGATTAGATTCCGATGAAATCCCGAAAAATCTGTAAAAATGACTGAAAATGGGACTAAGCGGGAAAAACGCGGGCTCAGCGAGGTCACGAAGAATACCAAGGAGTCTCAGGGGTACAACAAAATTTGAAAAAAATTGATTGCCTGTGGAACGGAGCCCAGATTACAAACGTCACAAAATCTGCTGTTTCCCCCTTGTATGTTACACACGTTCTGTAAAATTTTAGGGGCTATCCAATGATATATTTACTTTGTGGCCTATGTGAAAGAAACATGAAAAAAATACATTTTACGTAATCTATAGCTGATCTTTGAGGAGTGAGCTATCGATGAAGAAGTACGCGGATTTTAGTTACCAAAAGTACGCGAAATTACTTAAAACCGACTGATGTTCTACGATTTACAGAATCAGTTCTAGACAAAAAATGAAGTAGGTCGATTATCAACCTTATGCGGCCCCTTCCATTCATGACAATGTCTGTTTGAGAAGTTTGTGAAAAATTCGTATCTGGCTCAAAATCGGTTGAAAAATACTCCGGAATTTTAAAATATACTTTATTATACCTTCTTAAAACCTTATAACCACCTTAAAACTCACAGAATATATTTTATGTCTTGAAGAGTTTTCTAAAAATCATTAGAACTACACATAGGTTCTTTTCATACTTTAAATAGGAGCATCAGATAAAGCAGCAAAACTCAAGTATATTATAAAATTTTAAAGTATTTTCAACCGACTTTGAATGAGAGACAAAGTTTTCGATTTTGCATGTAAATAGTTTAAAATGTAGTTTAAAATAAAATTTCATCGAGAGTAATTTTCATCAGATTTTTAAAATTTCAAATGACATTATCATAACAGACATTATCATAAGATTCAGAGTGATGGATATAACTTTTACAAAATAATTGACCGCATATATTGATCTCGAAAACTAAATATTTTTGAGTAGAAATCCTCTCCACGTTGTTTGTTTTTATGTAAATGTGAATATAATTGAATTTGTTATAAAATACGTGAAATACATGCATACATCGCTAATAAGACATCTCGTATTTAGAAGGACATAATTAACCTAGTATTAAACAAAAAAATGTATACTTCATTTTTTGTAATCTGCCGTCCCTGCTCTACCGCGACACTGGCAGACAGTGGATTCAAAAATCACCTTGAATATATAAAAGTATGACAGCAGGATACCTCAAGTAACTTCCTGAAGAGTACTAATTTAGCCAATTAAATAAAAATTTCTTAGATGTTTATGACATTATCGAAGATATCTGATTAATTATTCCCGTATCTTGGAGTTAGATCATTCACTAGAGTTCAAGGATCTCTGCATCATTCCTCTAAAGTAAAAAAGCTTGCTCTTAATTAGACTATTCTTATATTAAGTACATATTTTTACGTGTAATTTAGTTAGTAACCGTAAAAATTTTGTTGTTATAAGTATTATTTTTCTTTTCTTATTATTTACAACAAAAAACAAAACAATGTATTTATTATCGCAGTTGGTGATTAGGTTGTAGATTAATAATGGTTGATGCTGATAAGTAAGCTGGATTTGCACTATTAATATTCCATTTTAATCGTTTAATATCAAGACGTCTCTGTTGTTTACGTTGAAATCGTTGTTTATATAATAATTTAATAAATGCTTGACGAAATTCACGAGATGTTAAAGCATAAAGTAAAAAATTTAAAGCTGAATTTGTATAACCTAACCATGTAAATGTTTTGAATAATAATTCATGATTTGATGAACGAATAAGAAATACGCCACTTAAGGGGGGACTTTACCCCCCTTATGATATATATTTTTTGATACCATTTTGTAGAGCAAATGAAACTGCATATAATCTGAAGTTTTCTCAGCGGATGGACGTGTTTTAACAGAGTTAGGTCTCTCACAAGTTATATGCCTTTATACACCCCGTGTCGCTATAAAATTTCGGAAAATTTTCAGATACAAGTTTTAAACCTAATTTTGATATAGTTAAATAGAGTGACAAAAGTTATATCTACCATAAAAAAATTTCGATTATAGAACGAGTATTCTCCGAGAAATACTGGTTTTCCTGTAAAGTACGTTTTTCACTATCTCAAAGTATTTTTTGGAAACCTTGACTGAAATCTCAAAAGTACAGCACACTAAAATAAAAATCTGTTGTAACCAAAAGATGCGCCGTCAAATTCTGCGCATAGTGAGCGGAGCATTCATTTTGAATAGATTTTTCAAACGAAAAACGAAGTTTCACACATGTTCGAAACAGGGAAAACGTTTTTTTTATAGCCAATGTTGTTTTTAGTACATTTTTTGTTTCAGGATAATACATAGTTATATGTTATATAGCAGTCGATAGAGAATTTCATCAGCTACAAAACTATGTATAAAACTGTGAGACAATGTTATTGTATAGTATACTTTGGTGAATAAATAGCTGCTCCACTAGTATGCGGTTCAATGAATTATACACTGTACAAGTTTTTACGTAGGAACGAAATGAAGAATTTTGACCTTTGAAGTTGAAGGTCAAAGAAAAATTCATGTTAACATTGCATTATTTTTATTTAATAAAAACATTTTATTACACTTAATAAATTCGATAAATAAAAACATATCTCTCTCTCTACATATATATATATCATAACAATTATTTTATTTTTCGTCTAATCTCATCTCATATTCAGAATCAAAATAAAAAACTGAGTCAAATGATGTGTATTTCTTATCTTATCCAATTACTTTCATGTTTTTCGAAATTTTTGATTGATTTTCGAGTCGATTGCAGAATCAGCTCTACAAAGCAGTATATTCAAAAACTTTTAGAAAATAATTATATTGTTTAGAAAAAAATATGGTTATTTTATTTCGAAAGAAGCATCAGTTAACTAAACAGTTAACCATAATTAACCGGTCATTAAACTGATCCTATTCTTTTGATCTAAAGATAATATAAAGTTTTTGAATATACTATTTTTGAAGGACAGATTCGTGCGTTACAATTTTATATCATCAGAAATTTCTTATAAATAATATTGTCGTACTGTTCACTTTCAAAAATACAGGAACAGCAGAAGATTTTTTTTCCTCGGAAAAACAGGAAAGTCAATAAATTCTTTTAGAATAAAATAAAAAAGTTTTAGGTTATATGCAGTTTCATTTGCTCTACAAACTAGTATCAAAAAATATATATCATAAGTGGGGGTAAAGTCCCCCTTTAAGTTGACGAAAACACCTGTGGCTAGAGGCTGACAGGGCCGGATTTTTGAAATTTTGTTTTATCAGATTAATGGTTAGCGTCAAAAGTCCAAAGTTCGAAAAAGTCGCATTAACTTTGGCGAAGATGTTTTTCTAATCACAAATCTAGACCGAATATAAAAAATCAGACTCTGTCAGCATCTAGCCACATGTGTCAGCTCCGATTTAAGACCTTCCCGAGCTCTCTACGATCTTTCGTTAACACCAGCTACGAAATGGTGTTAAAGTGAAAGTCACTTTTGAGGTATAGTGGCGCCAGTATCTGATGGTTTTTGGGGCTAGCGAAACTCGCGTAACTCTCGATCGGAATATCATTCAGAGCTGTTAGATATCTCATTTTGATCAGAAAAATAATTGCTCTACTTTCTGGTGTTATTGAAAGCAATTTTTAATTTGCTTTTCAATCGAAAAGTAAAACTTTTTCAAAAAGTCAGCTTTTCAAGGTTTTCAGAAAACTCCATACCCCTTGGATGAGGCCCAAATAACATTGGATTCTGATAGTTGATACTGTGGGCTGTCTGATGATGTGTTTATCTCAGCATGTACTATTTATAAAAAAATTATATTTCTGACGAACGGGGGGGGGGGGGGGGCATTAAATCGGTGGCAGGCAGCGGCACAACCAAGGGGCAAAATAAAAAAAATAAAGGAAGGGAATGTCCCCGAAAGCCATAAGGGGCACATTTTATAAAGTAGTAGCGC